GATGAGTTTTTTCTGGTCTTTATGTGAGAAAGAAAGAGTGGGCTAAAAGAACAGAAAAGTGAATGTGATCACCTTAAACGAAATAAGGTAAATACACCTCATAAGAAAATGCTTTTAGAGTCGTCTACTTTTTGCAGGCGGCTCAACTCCCTCTATCCTTGAGTTTATTAATTAAGCCGGTATTCCTTAAATTCATTGTATTTCCTATTATGTTTATTTTGATGTCCGAGAATGGACGTTACTCTTTCCATTATAATTACTTTAAACTATCAATGCTTGTTTCTTATATATACAAGCACATACAGAGATAGACACGCTCCCATTCTTCGAGGTTGACATATGATTGAAACTACCCAAATTACCTTTTACTTGATTAAATAGGCCAGATATAGAGTATATATACCGCATTTTAGGGTTATAAGGATGATACCCTTTTTTGATGATGTTTTTTCATACGACGGACGAAAGTTTAGCACGTTTTTACCCGATTTGAAGGAGAATACTTTGGAAAAAGCGTCAACAAGAATGTTTCGGTAAAGCCAATCGACAGCTGATCAAGAGGAATCAACCGTAGTCTTATGGGAGGAAAGACCTTGAATCTCTTAACCAAACACTTTGGCTAGAATTTGAAGAAAGCTCAAAAATTATGAAGCAATAGATTCCTCGAACCCCAACTTTTCTTAACATATTAAGTTTTATTTTCACTCTATGGGATGGTTTATATTTCTAGCTTCTACATATGATTCATTTACAAGTCGTTATTCAAATCTGCATTGATATAAGTGATCTCGGAAAAAAATACAAGTATGCTGCTTATACTTTCGATAATCAAGCAACAAGAGTCTATTAAATATGAGTCTAAATGGTTTTTACATCTGCATAACTGTTACCTTTATTGTATTTGAATTATTGGTTCCTTAGTTTCGTTATCTTTCGAGTCATGTTTTTTCCAACTCTTACCTCGATCAAGGAGCAACTTTGAAATAATTCGAGATGTTATTTTTAGGGAATAGCTTCTGACTCCGGGATAACATGATTAAGAAAGACAGTAAAACAAAATTTTCTTTCCCTTACATAGTCTCCTCAGTTCATCCAGACTCGGTCATTAATTTATGATCCTTTAGAATAAGTGCAATCGGCTACTCTCATTCATCTCTATAATAGTGTAAGAAAGTTATATACATCGATATATGTCTGGTAAAAGTTGACATCACTTATGGCTTTTTAATCAGATTAATCAGCTTTAAGCCCAGAAATTGTACTATTCGCTTATATTTTTTCTTCTCATTCCCTCTTCACCTTATGATTAGCTGGACACTCGAATTGGTGCATGTGATTTGATCTGGCTTGGTCAACGGCTTGCATACTTGCAAAACCTATTTGAACGTCAGCTCACCCTTCGGGACGGTCTTCTTCGCAGCTTACCTGGCATGGCGGCTGCCTCCAATCTGCCTAGTAATAGTCTATCCTCTTCTTCACATCAATTCGGCTTACTTTCTGGTCGTAGGCCGTCTCCAGTAGGGGAGACTAATACGGCCCGCCTCATGGGGAACTTGGGTCCCTCCTGGCGACAGGGTCTCGGTGCGAGAGATCCACTGACAGGCCGACTACATTTCAGCTCAACTCCCGCACCTGGAACTCCGGTCACATTTTATCCGCCCGATACAGCTGTTTTATTGCATAGACTGGCTGAAGATGGTGTCTCTCTAATGAAGGCCTGTTGTGAAGTAGTCGGTCTGTGGAGTATTCTGGGTGACTATGACATTCCTGCGATTGCCAGGTATCATAACTAAGAATGCAAAATAATGAGAACCTATTTATCGAAGAGTACAATTATTTCAAGTATTATTTGATATTAACCTAAAAATTCAAAATTATGTTTATTTATTGCACATAACATATTATGTGCAATACCCATATCGCACAAGAAAGTTATCGAGTGCGATTTTTCTCTAGAGAGTGGAAAGGCAAATGTGCCTTTTATTTTTAAGACGCTTATAGACAGATGCATCTCTATAATCAACGCATATCCGTTCTACACAAGGATCAAAAGCCAGCAATGGATTTACTTTGCCAGTCAGAATCGTTAGTTAAGTTCACCTTGGGATCTTAGTTCATCAGGCTGTCACTATGCCCCTCTTTTTACTAGCGTTCACATGTATTTTCCTACGGTTTATTTTTCTTAGTACACCTAGACGGTTTAACTATAGGCTAGTTGCTACTGCCTGCTTTTCATCAATTGTTGATCAATAGTGATAGTCTCGAAAATCTGCTTTTTCTTAATATAGATTTAATTTGTCCCTTAACACTGAGTTGATCACTAGTAGCTATTATTTACCATTATATAGGCTTATTCATATTTTAATAAGCTTGCATGCTTATGAAACCATTCTTCCTTAACGGTATATTCTTGTGGACTTTTATTGTTGTTTCTAGCCGGCTTTCTCCAGTAGACTGCGATTTGCTCTGCTCAGTGCCGGTGGAAGCTTTCGTCGTCACCTATCAGAACTCTGCTTCTTGCTTTGGTGGATCGAGTTCCGGCGAGGGGGCTGCCTCTCCCTCTGTAGGTGCCCCTGTAACCCCATCAGGTCCAGCAAGCAGTGGCTCAGGCCTCGGCAATGTAGGAGCTGTTGGTTCAGCTGTTAGTGGCTGTACTGGCACGGTTGGGGGTGGAAACATCGAGGTCGGTCTTCTCGGATTGACAGGAGAAAGCAGTGGCCCTGTTGTCGGTGCTAGTGGCGCATGCACTGGTTCTTCATCTGCTGGTTCTCGGGCTGCTTCGGGCCGCTTCTCTTCTGGTTGGACTGATCTGCTAACCTGTTTAATAGCTGCATTACTTGAGCATGCGCTAGTCGACCTAGATACTACTTCCATGGCTCCATCACTGCCAGGCGACGAATCCGAAATGGCTGGAAAAAATGGAGTCGTGTTAGCCATCGATGAGCTGGTTGATCGTCTCCGACGGACTTGTCCGGCCTTGTTTGCTCACGAGGACGCCCTATGCACCAAAGCTGATGAATGTTTGGTTCAGGTCAGAATGATATTTATCGTTGAAATTATCTACTAGCAACATTTAATTAAAATGGCTGATTAGCCACAAAATTTATCATTTGATTCAAGAATTTTGATTTTCATTGGACTTATTTTTTCATAAGCTTACCAAATCCCAAGTAAACATTATTCAACCTCACTTGTGGAATTTGTCTTTTACTTACTCCACGAGGCTCAGGCCCACTGACTTCTTTTTTCAATTGATATTTTGCTATGCTTGAAAAGTTGGATGGAGGCGATTTACAAATTTGCTTTACCTGAAGCCAAAGGAAAATTGTCCTTGAGTTGCGACTGCCTTCTGGCCCTAATCTTTCTGTACCATGAGGGATATCGTA